CCTATGAGGAGAGGCTGAGGGAGCTGGGCCTGTTCAGCCTGGAGAAGAGAAGGCTGAGAGGGGACCTGAGCAGTGTCTAGAAGTACCTCAAGGGAGGCCGTGAGGAGGATGGTGCTGACCTGTTTTCACTGGTGGCCACCCACAGAACTAGAGGAAATGGCCACAAACTGAAACACCAAAAATTTCACAGGAACTTAAGGAAAAATTTCTTCCCAGTGAGGGTGCCAGAGCACTGGAACAGGCTGCCCAGAGAGGTTGTGGAGTCTCCTTCTCTGGAGATCTTCAAAACCCGCTTGGACGCAGTCCTGTGCCACGTGCTCTAGGTGACCCTGTGTGTGCAGGGGGGTTGGACTAGATGATCTCTAGAGATCAAGACTCTTTTGTCTTTTACTGCTCTGATGTACCTACCGTGGTTGTGTTTTTTTTGCCATTTGCCTTGTGCTTAACTCCAAATCTGTGCTTCTCTCATGGCTGTGCTAGACTGGAGAGCTATGATGGTTATAAACTAAATCTGTGACCCTTTTAGTCTAGAAAGTAAATTGTTTCTGCCCAAGATGTCTTGTATTTTTCTGGAAGCAAGGCTCACAGCTGAGCCTACTTAACCCTTTTCACAGGGATCTAATCTGTGATTCTTAATACCTTTTCCTTAATTTGCAGATGCAAACGATACTCATGAGACTGAGTCTCCATCTCAGGTCAAGGATGGCAAGGTAAGAGCTGAGAGCACGGATGGTTCTTGATTAGTAGTAGTGTTCTTGGATAACAGTTTAAAAACAATATTAACTTTCCTGCAGCCAGGCTGGTTGGTGTTCTGTTACAACTAGTGTGTGTTAAAGGTTTCAATTGGCTTCTTTTTTCCTTACCACAGATTCTGAAGGTGGCTGAGAGGGTGGAGCCTCTCGGGTAGGGATTGGGCTGCCTCTTGCAGCTTCTGCTGTGGAATCATCATTTTTCAGTTTTCTCCCTGCACTTGGGAACACTTTCCAGAGAACTCGCAGTGAGATTTGACAGCAGAGAACTATTTTCAAGGGCCCAATACATCACACATGAAAACATCAGCTTTTGCTTGCTTAGTGCCACTTGCTTCTCTTCCCTGTTTGGCCCTGTCAGCTGGGGTATGACACATGATCAATTTGTGTTTCTGTATTTATTTCTCTTTCAGCCACTCTCCGAACGGTTTGAGACTTTCTGTCTGGATCCTTCTCTTGTCAGCAAGCAAGTCAGCCTGGTGCACTTTCCTCCGGGATTCCAGCCCATTCCTTGCAAGCCCTTGTTCTTTGACCTGGCCCTTAACCATGTTGCTTTCCCACCTCTGGAGGACAAGGTGGAGCAGAAGGCCAAAAGTGGCCTTACAGGATATATCAAGGGCATCTTTGGATTCAAAAGTTAACCAGGACCCCTCTGAGGAACGGAGGTTTTATTCTGTATTGAAGGAAAAGCTCCAAGAGGTTCTAGGACATAAATATCTGCAGCTGAAACTGGCAGAGGGAGGTTTTACCATCATCTTCCCTATGTTCTGTGTATGTGTCTGTGCACTTGCATTCTCTCCCAGTGTGTTAGAGGCAAACAGTTTATTCAAGTACATAAGTACACTATAAATCCTTGAAAATATCCAGAGCACAGAGAAATTCCATTCTGTTTGGAGAATTTGGAGCTCACTTTGTGACCAGTGGCTTGTTCAGGGCCAGTACACATATACTTACCATGGACCAGGGCATAGGCATATCTTGATATTTGTTTTTCTTTTTATTTTCTTTCTTTTCTCTCCACTGTTATTTCACATTACAATTTGGTACCCTGATCCTGAAACCTTCTGGGTGTGGTAGGGAAGCAGGGGCAAAGGTAGATGAACTGAAACAGCAAGATGAGGCTGCCTGTGCGATGGGCATGAAGCAATGGCCAAGGGGGCTAACTTGTCCTTCTCTTGATTTCCACTCCCCGCTGAAAAGTGTACCTAGTTATGTAGAGAGAAGTCTCCTTAAAAAATGTATCATTTGGAATTGGCAAAGTAGAACCTCTTTCCTTATCAATAAGGATGAAAAGTACCTTATCAGATGCTAATGATTATCCCAGCTGTGATGGAATATTGCCCAAATTTGTACTCTGGGTCGATAGAATCCATCTTCATTAGTATCTTTTTGTTAAATGCCTAAATACAGTATAGAACCCATTCCTACAAGGCGTTTCCTGGGAAACTTAACTATTCATGGGTGGCATTAGAAATAGCTACTTGCTCTTCATGGGAAGCTGGGTCTCTCGATGATTTTTTGTCTCTGATCTAAACCTTACCTGAAAACAAGATGATCTTTTTCTGGAGTTTCTGTTGTTTTTTCCTCATTGTCAGTAAGCAGATACACCTGAAATGAGAAATCAGCAGCAGGAGATCAGTAGGTTCTTAAGTGACAGATCTGTCACATGAGCCAGCATTTTTATAAAGAGCCCAGGTGCTGTGGTGATAGGCACTGTCAAAATGCGGGTAATTCCGTAACGGTGTTCACTAAGTAGGAAAAACAACAGCACGTGGGCAAAACTGTTCCTAAATAAAGAATTTGGAAGTTTCCACAGCCACGTTTGGGTTTTTACTCTGTTATAACTGGAAGTTGAAACAGCAGTTACTTCTATCTGCTTTTTAGCTCCTCTTCACTGGTTGTCTTGACTTCGCATTGTTTTTCCATTTTTAGGCATTGCAGTCAGTGGGGCTGGAAACGGTAGAAATATTTTGAATGACTGGATTGTTGTGGGAATTTTCCATGCGAGGTCCATGTGTCAGATGAATGGAGGGAATTAGCAATTCCCTTGATTTCATCCCAAGGTGAATGTTTGCTTTTCTCATTCCAAGTTGGTCTGATTTGTGAGTTCTCAAAATACAAAGCAGCTCGAAGGAGGACTCTGGGCTCAGAAAGAGGTAAGAGAAGAAGGAAAAACTTCTTGGCTGTGTTTAATATTTCGCTCTGAGTGCCAAGGGCTTTTACAAGAGAAATGGGAAATTGTAACCTGAAAGAAATATCGAAGAGTATTTATACATCTGGTGCTGATGTCTAGCAAGCATGTCCCTGGATGACAGATAAATCTGTTCACTGGAAAGTCTGTTTCATTTTAGACATGATGAAAGGTCGTGCTGTAACAGTCCCAAGCATCAGATGTTTGATCAGCTTCATACCTATTTTCATACTTCACTCTGAACTTCTCTATCCTTCTGTCTTATATCAAATCATTTCGAGTACTGTTCTTGTGTTTGGTTTGTAAATCAAACTTCTTTCTGTTCCCCTGCCGCAAATCTGTGTGGTGCCTGGATTCATTCCAGTGAAACTTGTATTGCAGCCACTTTCTAATCGGTTACTGTTACAAAAACCTAGGAGCAATTGACCCCTGTGTTAAACATCTTTTGGCAGGTAACTGATTAGTTGAAGATGGATAAGTCTGACAACAATAAAGTCTTATTTCTGATCTCTGAGGCATGTAGTTAATGATGAGCATGGAGAGCGCTGAGATGACCCGTGACATGCGGTCTGGGACTGCTTGAGCCACGGAGAATGATCACTGTGAGTTGGAGGAGGACGTTCTTTCTGCAGGCTCAGGTTCGTGCAGGGTTTAAGATCAACAAAAGTGAATAGAGCAGGATTTGTAATCAGTGTTGGAACTTGAATAATGGGGAAGGTGCTGATAAGGCACTAGGAAATAATCTAAACTGAGGAAAATATATATTGTTATTCATGGAACCTGGATGATGAAAACCACACTTGGACGATCATGCTCATGCAGTGCATGCAGTCACTGCAAAGGTGAGTCCTAGAATATGGTTATAGGGGATAGCCTTGGCACGTTGTGACTGCCCGGAATGACCGATGTAACATACGGAGCACTAGGTAACCTGGGCTGAATCCAGTTTCAGAGCTGGATAGCGATCTGGCCTGGGGGTTTCTAAATAACTCTTTGCCTCCTTTAAAAAAGAGAAAAAATCAGTATCTAAATGGAAGCTGTTGGGTTCTGGAGATCCCCAGTGCTGTATAATCCAAGATGGTTTGCGTGGAAGGAATGCAAGGTGAGCACTGACAGTAAATTCTTTGTGGCCAGCTTAGCTGATGGGCTTGTGAGTTGGGCTGGCAGCCTGTGCCAGGCATATGTGCTAGTGAAGGCTGCGGTGCCTTGGATGGAGTCTAGCAAATCCAGGTACAGGAGCAGCAAGTAGAACTATTCTGGGAAAAGATGGATCTCCTGGGAGATGTCATGCCCCCATGTATCTCCTGCTCATACCCCGTTACTCCAGCGAGCACAAGTCCCCTGTGCTCGGCTTGGGGATGAACTAGAGGTTTGCTCACTTGAAGTGACGACTTGTGATCTTGATCCCGTGTGGCCATTCCTGTCTTAATTCAGGCTTGGCTTGCTCTTCTGCAGCATGAGAGCAGCTGGAGGTAGGTCTGCCTTGCGGAGAACTGCTTCTGTCCAGCTTTGGCCTTGGCCTTCAGCAGCAGTGGGGAAGGATAAGTGTGACCGGCTGCCGGGCCGCTGCCCGTTCTCCTGGCTGTGGTAGAGTGTGGATGCTCCAAGCGCGGATGCCTTTGCTGCGAGGAGCCAGAAGATTGAAGACCGTTCTTTGAGCATGCCTGGAAAGGGGCAGGGGTGCCATTACAGGCCCTGTTTGAGGGGGGAGAAGGTTCTTCCTGGCCTGGCTGGGGACACTGGGCACGGGGCGCTTGGCTCCAAGGAGCTGCTGCCCGCTGTGGGCCGCGGAGCTGCTGCTTGCTTCGCCCCCACGTCCCTGGCAGAAGTGGCTCTGGCTTTGGCTCCAGTGTCAGAGCCAGAGGGCCCCCGAGCCGGGATAGCTGGTGCAGTCGGACGGGTTGCTCTGTCCGCCCGCTGCAGAGCGAACGGTGGGTGCTCGGCTCCGTCCTTGGGCTGTAGTACCAAGCTGTGTGTACAGAGGGAGGCTGCTCCCAGTCCCATCCTCCCAGCACAAGTAGCATGGGCTGGAACCTTCCCACCTAAAAAGCAGCCACTTCTCAGTGGAGGAGGCTTGAAACTGCTTCCAAAGGGGAGTTGTGTTTGTGTTGGGCACACGTGGCCTCGGGCGTTGCTTTCGTGTGCTCCAATTCCCCTGTGTTCACGTGTGGGCCCAGGTGCGTTTCTAGGGGCCGTTGTGCTGTGATCTGCGGTGAGGTCCTTCTCTGGAGATCCTCAAAACCCGCTTGGACCCAGCCCTGTGCCACGTGCTCCAGGTGACCCTGGGTGCAGGGGGTTGGACTAGATGATCTCTAGAGGTCCCTTCCAACCTTAAGCTCTCTATGATTCCATGAGCTCCCCTGCCGCAGGGCACCGCAGCGGTCGCGTTGCTGTAATTCGCGCTGTGGAAACAGCCCCCTCGTCCTTCCCGTGCTGGGCTGGCGGCCACCGCGGTCCAGGTGCAGACCTGAGACACAGCCGCTTCCCCAAGGCCCAAACGCTGGGAATGGGAATTAGCGCCTCATTCCCAGCTCCATGGTGAGTCCAGGGAGCGATATGCTCCTTGTGGTGCCCGAATGACTGAAGAGCAGCTTCAAAGCCTCTGAATTACATTTGGTGGTTAGCTTTTTCCACAGAAGCCAGGGGAGCTTCTAATTTTCTCAGAGCATCAAATTAACTTGGGGCAGGGGAGGTCTGACTGCTCAGAATTAGTCCTGGCAGATGGACGCATCCCATCCTCCTCAGCCCGGGACACAAACGCACCCACCATTGCAGGGGAAGCAGCAGCTCAAAAATGGAGCTTTGCAGCAGACTTGGACTTGTGCAACAGGAAAAGCTCTTGGGCTTGTGGACTGGAAGATGCTGCCTGTGGTTCTGGGGTCTGGCATTCTGGTAGCCCAAAAAGAGTTTGGCCCCTCTCCCTGTTTGCCTTGTGCTGCAAGTGGAGTCTATGGATGGGCTTCCTCGTGAACCATGAAGGAAATCTCCCCCAAAATGTCCAGGTCTTCCCCTTTGGTTTCAGGGGTGAAGGCTGTATTTCTGTGGAGGAGTGTTTGGTCCCATAGCTTGATTATTTCTCAGTGTCAGGTTTAACTTTCCAGGATGCATCTCATGCAGGGCAGATCCCATCACGCGTCTGTGGAGCAGCTCCTTGCAGCAGAGTTATTAGATCATCAAGGAAAATTTGCAGGCCGCATCCTGCAAGTTATGAACAACTTTTCCAGACAAAGTGTCTTGAGAATCTGCTATTAGTGAACTTAGCACTATTAAAGCCTTGCCAGCCCTCTGGGGAAAGGAAATCTGGGCTAAAGCACTAGCTGCTGTAGGGAAGTGCAGTGATGTCCTGCTAAAATAGCCCCAGGGCTTGAACTCGGAACAAACCAAGGGCTGCTGCACTGAGCGCAGAGCCCGCGGAGTGGGAGGCAGGTAGCTCCTTTTGATGTCGAAGGGTCTGGAGATGAGTGGCCTATAAAAGCCCAGGGACTGAACGGCTAATAAGCAGGTGAGATGGCTTGGTGCAGACGTTCTCTGTACTAAGAGAGATGCAAAGGAGCAGGATTTGGATTTTCCACTCCTTTGAGAGCTCGAGAGGAAGAGGAGCAGCCAGGTCCTTGCCCCTGGCCTTCCGTGGCCTCCCGCTCTTGGGCTTCTTGTTCCAGCGGCAGCGCAGTTTGGGAAGGAGCATTGAAGTGTTTTAATGACCTTTGAATCGGCCCGCAGGGAGAAGTACAGGGGACCTTGGTGCTTTCTGGGGTCCTTCCCTTTTTGTCATTTCTTTTCTAAAGAAGCTGAGTGCA